CTTTTCCATCACCTGGGAGGGGACATGGGGCCCCCTCTGAGGGGGCTGCTGTCCCTGGGGAGGGGACAAAGGGACCCCGCAGAGCGGGCTGCTGTCCCTGGGGAGGGGACATGGGGACCCCTGTGACAGTGCTGCCATCTCCCACCCTCCTGTCCCCCCCAAACCAGCCCCAATAACATCATCTCTCCCCAGCAGGGCCGGGCGGCTTGGCGATGACTCAGGCCGAGATCAAGCTGTGCTCCCTGCTGCTGCGTGAGCACTTTGGGGACATCGTGGAGAAGATGGGGACATACCTGATCCGGACGGGCACGCAGCCACTGCGGGTGATCGCCCACGAGACGGGGCTGCTGCTGGATCAGGTACAGCCCAGACCCACACACGGGGGGCAGGGAACGATCTGATACCAGCCCGAGCTGCCAGCACCTCCACTGCTGCTCCCGGGGGAGGAACTGGAGTGTTGTGTCCAGGTGTGGTCCCAACAGTTCAGGAAGGACAGGGAACTGCTGGAGAGAGTCCAGCACAGAGCCACCAAGATGGTGAAGGGAGTGGAGCATCTCCCTGCTGAGGAAAGGCTGAGGGAGCTGGGGCTCTTTAGCTTGGAGAAGAGGAGACTGAGGGGTGACCTCATTAATGTTTAGCAATATGTCAAGGGTGAATGTCAGGAGGATGGAGCCAGGCTCTTCTCAGTGATGCCCAATGGTAGGACAAGGGGCAATGGGTGTGAGCTGGAACACAGGAGGTTCTGCTTCAACTGGAGAAGAAACTTCTTTCCAGTGAGGGTGCCAGAGCCCTGGGACAGGCTGCCCAGGGAGGGTGTGGAGTCTCCTTCTCTGGAGACATTCAAGACCCACCTGGACACCTTCCTGTGTGATCTCATTGAGGTTCCTGCTCTGGCAGGGGGGTTGGACTGGATGATCTTTGGAGGTCCCTTCCAATCCCCAACATTCTGTGATTCTGTGAAACAAGGAGAAATGAGCATTTTGCTGCTTATTAAAAAAATAAAAATTAAAAATCAGGTGGGTTTTTTTGTAAGGTTTTTGGTAAGTTTTTAAGGTAAGTTTTTGGGGGAGATGGTTTGTTATCTCGTTTAAAAGGTAATCTGGGAACAAGGAGAAACTCTGACTTCTCCTTAAGGGAGCAAAGAAATAGAGTCCAGAGGGACGGGATTGACACACTGGGGACAAGATGGTGTGAGGACAGGCTGAGAGAGTTGGGGCTGTTCAGCCTGGAGAAGAGAAGGCTCCGGGGAGACCTTCTAGCGGCCTCCCAGTACCTGAAGGGGCTCCAGGAAGGCTGGGGAGGGACTTTTCATAAGGGCAGTTAATGACAAAACAAGGGGAAATGGGTTTAAGCTGAAAGAGGGGAGGTTTAGATGAGATATTAGGAAGAAGTTCTTCACTGTGAGGGTGGTGAGACAGTGTCCCAGGTTGGCCAGAGAAGCTGTGGCTGCTCCTCCCTGGAAGTGTTCTCGGCCAGGCTGGATGAGGCTTTGAGCAACCTGGTCTAGTGGAAGGTGTCCCTGCTGCTGGCAGGGGGGTTGGGACTGGATGAGCTTTAAGGTCCCTTCCAACCTAAACCATTCTATGATTCTATGACAAACCCCAGCAGCTCAGCAGCAGTGGGGGGGTGACTCTGAGCCGGTGGAGAGTGTTGGCTGCACAGGGAGGACACTCCCCTTGGCCACCATGAGGGGGACTGAGTCGCTCGGGGGCTTCTCCACCACGTAACCCAGCTCCTCTCCACCTGGACAGGTTAAAAAAGCCCTTTGTGTCCTCATCCAACACAACCTGGTGACGTACCAGCTGCAGAAACGAGGCTTGGTGGAGTACCAGGCTCACTGCAAGCGGGTGCTGAGGATCCTCCGGTACCCCCGGTACATCTACACCGCCAAGACCCTCTACGGCGACACGGGGGAGCTGATCGTGGAGGAGCTGCTGCTCAACGGGCAGATGACGATGAGCGCGGTGGTGACCAAGGTGGCAGACAGGCTGACAGAAACCATGGAAGGTGGGAATTTCCTCTCCTGAAAAACCAACTAACCA